AAATTATTTTCTTAGAATGTTTTTACTGACTTACTTACTTTAAGAAGAACTTATTTATTTATTTTATATATTCTGAGGCGGAAACGTTTGTAACCATCGATAGTTTCGGCTATGTTTTTCCAAGGTTAATAGTAACTGTCACAATTAATTGTAATCGATTTCAGATCGGAGTGTATGAATAAAACATAATTGGGAATATAATAAGCTCCTCTTGTTCATCGAGTGCCGTTGTAGAGCTGGTCGAGTATAAATACAAATATCTGTTCGAGTGCACACATCCGCTGGCCAGAACAGAGCACACTGATTTCGAATGGGGCCTAAGCAAATATGCAGGAGCCGTGATACCAGGTGATGGGTGCGGAGCGTCGGGAGTGTCGGGAGTGTCGGGAGTCACGGAGTCATGGCGCATCATGAATTGCCTTTATTTGTCTTCATTACACTGTCCTCCCCACTTTTCGCCTGGCTGGATAGTTTCGGGCCAGAAGAAGTCAACGGAAGGGGGTTAGGAAATTCAAATACGCTTTCGACTCGAACAACAATCAAAGCTTGGGCCCTCACAGATACAGATACAAATACAGATACAGATACAGATACAGATACAGATACAGATACACCCCAATACAGCCACATTGTTTTGCTTGCCTTTCGGTTTTGTTTAGCATTTTTTCGATGTCGCAGCACAGCTCTTCCGCTACTTTGACTGCTGAGATTAGGGGCATGGCGGGGGGTTTGTTCGGCAAGTTTTTTGCGGCTTTGCCTTGATAATCCCACGTCCTTTGCAGGACATCAAGGGCATTAGCATGTGATATGTGAAGCAACTTCTCGGATTTTTTTTTGGATTCAAATCTGTATATAAATGGGTTTCGCAAGGCCAAAGCTCACATACTCGGGCCCAACTTTATGGAACTTGGCCAAAGATTCGGCCCAAACTCTTTGCCAGTGTCAATTTCATTCGCATCCCCCTCTGATCCTGCAAGTTGAAGTTTCCTAATTAGCAGACAAAGTGGAATCAAAGGAGTTACGGCACCGGGCCCGGAGCATTTGCGGTGATTCAGGTGCGGCCGTCTAATCAAAAATTCTAAAATATTCCCCTTATCCGCTCCAAGGACTTGGCCTATGCATAAACTGTTGCTTTTGCATCGACAGCGGCAGCCGTAAAAAGAAAAGCCATTCGGAATTTATGCTTCGCCGCCCATTTGTCGTCAGCATAAGCGGGATCAGCTGAAGAGCTGAAGTGCCCGACGGACTTAGTGGGTGTAATGAAACCTGGACCCCTATTCCGGCCACGTCCTCAGCCAACATCCTGGACATTCTGGACGTCCTTGACATCCCGAGAAGAGCGCAAATGTAGCCCAATTCCTTTTTCGCCGCGCACCCTTCGCGGTAATAAGTTACAATTTTATTATTTCATTTGCCTTTGACAGACTGCAAGTACCATTTTCCGTACCATAATATATCTACAACTTTGTTTACGCGATGTCAATTTCATGAAACGGAGTAAAAAGTGTGTGCATAAACGCTATTTGTGTATTGACTATGAATTCAGATCAATATGATATATGGTGGCAACGCCCGACGTTAGAGTAAACAATTGAAAGCAGATTTCTCTTGACCCTTAAAGGGTCATTTATTGTTTTTTCTTGACTCAGCTCTTTTATTAATTAGTTATCCTGTTCGGTTTGGCGTTGGTAAATGTTCAAACAAACATCTTAAATAATAATACTAGCAGAGGTGCCAGACATGTAAGTTAAGTTGATACTTACACGTCTAGCACCTCTGCTTACATTATTTCATTAATTCGTCTGTACCGCATAAGCAGGGGCAAATTTTGATATAGATATAGATATAGATATAGATATAGATATAGATATAGATATAGATATAGATATAGATATAGATATAGATATAGATATAGATATAGATATAGATATAGATATAGATATAGATATAGATATAGATATAGATATAGATATAGATATAGATATAGATATAGATATAGATATAGATATAGATATAGATATAGATATAGATATAGATATAGATATAGATATAGATATAGATATAGATATAGATATAGATATAGATATAGATATAGATATAGATATAGATATAGATATAGATATAGATATAGATATAGATATAGATATAGATATAGATATAGATATAGATATAGATATAGATATAGATATAGATATAGATATAGATATAGATATAGATATAGATATAGATATAGATATAGATATAGATATAGATATAGATATAGATATAGATATAGATATAGATATAGATATAGATATAGATATAGATATAGATATAGATATAGATATAGATATAGATATAGATATAGATATAGATATAGATATAGATATAGATATAGATATAGATATAGATATAGATATAGATATAGATATAGATATAGATATAGATATAGATATAGATATAGATATAGATATAGATATAGATATAGATATAGATATAGATATAGATATAGATATAGATATAGATATAGATATAGATATAGATATAGATATAGATATAGATATAGATATAGATATAGATATAGATATAGATATAGATATAGATATAGATATAGATATAGATATAGATATAGATATAGATATAGATATAGATATAGATATAGATATAGATATAGATATAGATATAGATATAGATATAGATATAGATATAGATATAGATATAGATATAGATATAGATATAGATATAGATATAGATATAGATATAGATATAGATATAGATATAGATATAGATATAGATATAGATATAGATATAGATATAGATATAGATATAGATATAGATATAGATATAGATATAGATATAGATATAGATATAGATATAGATATAGATATAGATATAGATATAGATATAGATATAGATATAGATATAGATATAGATATAGATATAGATATAGATATAGATATAGATATAGATATAGATATAGATATAGATATAGATATAGATATAGATATAGATATAGATATAGATATAGATATAGATATAGATATAGATATAGATATAGATATAGATATAGATATAGATATAGATATAGATATAGATATAGATATAGATATAGATATAGATATAGATATAGATATAGATATAGATATAGATATAGATATAGATATAGATATAGATATAGATATAGATATAGATATAGATATAGATATAGATATAGATATAGATATAGATATAGATATAGATATAGATATAGATATAGATATAGATATAGATATAGATATAGATATAGATATAGATATAGATATAGATATAGATATAGATATAGATATAGATATAGATATAGATATAGATATAGATATAGATATAGATATAGATATAGATATAGATATAGATATAGATATAGATATAGATATAGATATAGATATAGATATAGATATAGATATAGATATAGATATAGATATAGATATAGATATAGATATAGATATAGATATAGATATAGATATAGATATAGATATAGATATAGATATAGATATAGATATAGATATAGATATAGATATAGATATAGATATAGATATAGATATAGATATAGATATAGATATAGATATAGATATAGATATAGATATAGATATAGATATAGATATAGATATAGATATAGATATAGATATAGATATAGATATAGATATAGATATAGATATAGATATAGATATAGATATAGATATAGATATAGATATAGATATAGATATAGATATAGATATAGATATAGATATAGATATAGAGATAGATATAGATATAGATATAGATATAGATATAGATATAGATATAGATATAGATATAGATATAGATATAGATATAGATATAGATATAGATATAGATATAGATATAGATATAGATATAGATATAGCTCCCATAGAAATAATAATAATAATATATAAAATAACTGTCTAATAATTGAGCTGCAAATCATCATAGCTTCAATGTTTTTAAACATATACGCAAGTAAATCATAAATTTAATGTTTTCAAAAATATTTAATTCTTGCAATAGCTGCAAGGGTATATGAACTTCGGCTTGTCGAAGTTTGCTTTCTTTCTTGTGTGAACTGATTTTAATATCTAAAAACATTATTAAAATCTAAATCATATTTCATTTAATAACTTGATTTTAAGTCAAATTCGAACTATTTTTGTTTTAAGCTAATGTTTTCCACGTTAATTCAAATATTTCAATATACAAGCTTGTAATTTAAAATTCATTGTATTAAATATTTTGTTTTAATATTTTATTTTAAATATAAATGCTACATATCATAAAACACCTACAGACATACGGACGAACTACAAAACGGACACTGACAGTTGCGCTCATTTATATAGACACTTACTAGGGAAATACAAATTAGTTAACAACTCCACGTCACCTGACGCAGACGTGTAAATTAAATGTATGTCAAATGTAAATTGTTTTCTGATTGTTAAGAATATTAAAATCGTTGTTATTATTTTATAGTTGTTATTGTTTTATTTTATAGTTGTCCTGAAGACGGTTGCCGAAGAGCATCCGAAATATATTGACAAATAACAAAAATTAAAAAAATTGTGTTATAAATAAAATAAATAAAATAAATTTTTAAATTATGCGTCGAATGAAACCTTACTTTCTAGAATTCGAGGCTCCATTCAAAACTGATTCAATAAATCCTTTATTTTTTGGTATATCTGAAACCGAAAATTTTTTAGCCTCTGTCGTTTTTACAAAATTTAAAGGACTTGTCTAAGAATCCTGGGATAATTTTTCTTGTGTTGGGCAGTTCGTTACAAAAGAGATTGTTCTAAGACTTTTTGAAAAACATGCTTATTTAGCGGGAAATCGCTAAAAATAGCTAAACTTTACACGGCTATAACTTTTATGCTAGTAGATACGTGATTTTTGTAATTAAAAAGATATTTTTAAATGCTTATTACGCTGCATCAACATAATTATTCTAAATAAAATAGTTACAACATTATTTTTTTTTTTTTTAAATTAGTCATAATTTTTTTGCAAATAAATAAATAACGATTCTATTGATTTTATTTCTATTTTGTACTTTTATAGCTCTTGAGATTCGTCAACTTTTGATATGCAACACATGTTTAAAAACGTCAAAATCAAAAGTTATTAATTTAATCGCGAAATTGCGATCGTCACAAGTATATCTTCTTTTCTTTACAGTATCCAAGGGACCTTGACATGACCCATCAACAGCACTGAGTTGGGAGTGCGGATGGCAAAGACGAATGGCCGATTAGCGACGAACTCCTTGGAGTTGGCAGGCATTGACTGGTCATAAACTGGACCTATAAAATGAAAAGCTTTGTAGTAGTTTTTAGACCCGAAAATAGCTGAAATCTTACCCGAATAGTTCGAGTTTACTGTTCCCAACTCCGACACATTAATGTAGACCCTATGCAGGATCTTGTCCACGCGCACCGTCTGTTCGAGCAATTTGGTCACCTTCGAGCTGTTCCTGAACACCTGGCTGAGGCCCAGCTTCTTCAGAGGATCGCCCAAGTCACAAAAGAAGTCGAGAGTGAACCAGGGCAGGCCCACCGTGACCGACTGGCGGTGCAGGCGGTTGGCGATCCGGTTGAGATCAAACTCCGGCTGGGCCAACTGCTGCTCGAGGTTAGCCAGTCCGTCGAGCTGATTGGGCAGCAGGATCAGCATGCTGGTGGCACTATTCTTGAAGGGCAGTTCCAAGGCGGTGGCGTCCAGTTCGGGCAGATCAGCCAGACCATAGACTTCGTGGTTGTGCATCATTGCAACATTGATAGTTTCACCGCTGCCGAGGTGGAATTCGGATTTCCGCGTGTTGATCTTGTCGAAATTGTGCTTCCAGACACCCTTGAATTCCACTGTGTTATCGAGTATCGCCTGCATCTGGGAACTAATGTCGAATCTCTTTATCCAGAAGGGTAACCAGCTTGACATATCCCTGCCGCTATCCATGTCTACAGGCTTTGTGTCGATGTCAAAATAGAATTTGGAGAACTCATTGTAGCGGGAATTAACTGGACCCAGTTTCCGGTTGTAGAATACTCCGGGGCGAGTATCTAGCGTGGCACTCGGGAGATGCTCCTTGAACTTGATCAGTCGCTCGAAGTCCAGGGCCACGAAAACAGGGTGCTGGTTGAACTCGCCGACCCGCTGCACTTCGCTGAGTGTTTCACCCTCCGATGCCCTGTAGATCAGTGCCAGCATGGCGTGCACGGCGAAGGGTGAAAAGACAACGACCTCGCGATTTATTTCCAACTTTAGTATTTCCGGGAAGAGTTTTGCGCTGAAGCGGGTCATGTAGGTGGGCGCCAGACATTCTCCGGGCTCTGGCTTCGCAAGACTTTGGGCAACCTCAAGATGTCCCAGTGCCAAGAGAAGGATCGCTGGAAGAAACCGTATTAGTAACAACTATTTATAGCGGCGGTGGTTTCCCATCTACCCACCGACTTTGCTCGCCATTTGTTCTTATCTCTGGCTTCTTGCTCAAGAGTGAATAAATGAATTAATAATATTCAGTTCTTCCGCTTCGACGACCAGCTCGCTATAGTTGCGCTACGAAACTGAACGTTTCAAAACTTATTATCAGAAGCAGAAGCAGAACAGAGCCAGGCGGCACATATACACAGTTACACACAAAGAAAATAAACAAAAAACCAATTATTTAATTGTTAAGGCTGCCTATAAATTTGCGAAATGTTTAATTCCCCAGATCATAGCAATGTTCTTCGTCTCACCCTACGACATTAGCTCCCAGATGCTCTCACTACTGCAGAACACGCGGTTATCCAAATGTTGCCAAGCCAGCGGCACAAGGACGGTGCCACCAGCAAGCTGATCCTGCTGCCCAATCAGCCGAGCAGCAGTTGGCCCAGCCGGAGTTCGATCTCGACGGGATTGCCAACCGCCTGCGTGGTCAGTCGGTCGCGACTTGGCTTGCCCAAGTTCAGTTTTCGGCTCAAGTGTGACCTGGACGATTCTCTGAAGCAGCTGGGCCTCAACCAGATGTACAAGTAACTCCAGGTTTTAGATTTCAAGTCCAAGGAGTTCATCGCCAACGCCTTTGCCATCCGCACTCCCAACTTAGTGCCCTTCATGGATCATGTGAAGAAGCATGTGGACTCTTAGTAAAATGGAATCAATAACCTAACCATGCCCCATTTGAAGCAACTTAGTATTACACGGCGGTGAACGCAACAATTTGTATAAGCCAATTCTTATAACAAAAGATCTTAATAAGGATTCGATGTCTTTGAACCATAGTCATGGGTTATTATTTCAGAATTACGGAATAATACAAAAAATAAATTAAAAAACAATTTTAGCTTCTCTATTTTAAACTATTTGTTTATTTCTTTTGGCTACAGTAATGGTTTAAAAATACAGAATTATGCTTTCAATTTTTCAAATCGGAAAACGATATCATGTAGCTTCCATATGAACGATATAATTTTGGAGCTGTAAGTCATCATAGCTTCAATGTTTTAAAACATATACGCTTATAACTCGAATTTAGATGATTTAAACAATATTTAATTATTGCGAAAGCTGTAAAGGTATATGAAAATCAGCTTGCCGAAGTTTGCTTCCTTTCTTGTTTATGGTTGATATGGTTCTAAAATTCATTTCCTTATTATTGTAGTTGAATGGCCAGCCTTAACACTTTTATATTGAAGGCCATACATCAATTCCCCGATACCCTGATTTATCCCACCTTCTCCATTTAAGGGCGCTGTGGAAATGGAAAGGATGCAAATGGGCGGTCGATGGCCAAATGTCAATTTACTAAATTTTATGTTTATTTGTCCATTGATTAATGGCCAAGGACACGCACGAGGTTCTCGTACGCAAGTCTTCAATCATAAGAAGTCGCCCCTTTTTTTCGGTGCTCGCCCTTCGCTTTATTTGCGCATACAATTTATAGGCTGAAACCAGCATATTTGTGTCATTAGCCGCAAATTTTTGACCCATTTGTCATTAGGGCTGACTGCAGACGAGCAGGACCAAGGATTTGCATAAAACAAACGCACACGGCTGTCCTGTGTGTGTGCTGGCCATTGTGCCCTGCCAAAATGTGTGACCGACAAGATTTATCAAGTAATAACAGACATTTCGGACAACCCATAGACCCATTAGTAACACGCTGTTTGACATTGTCTGAAAATATCATTTTAATCGCAGACCACACACAAGGAGCACATGTAACCCAGCAGGCCGTTAAGGATGCGGATGCCGATGCGAATGCGAATGCGAATGCGGTTGTACAGAAGGAAGCCGAGGTGAATCTTTCATCGTCATGGTCGGCTACTTAAAGATGATTCATGGCTTTCATATTTAGAAAATTTTTACTCATTTTATTTTAGCCAAAGAAAATATGATATTTTTTGGACCCCATTTAAAGTTAACAAAATAAGGTATTTAAAGGTATAATGCACAAGAATCTTTCTAGGCTAGTAGGGGTAGGATTTTCATTCTAAAAACAACGCTTTGAAACGCTCCATACCTTTTACAGCTTTGAAGAATGATCCAATTTCAGCTTAAATTAAAGCTAACTAAAGATTACAAGCAAAATGTAATTTGTTTTAATTTTTAGCTTAAATCTAAATCAATTTTACTTTTTTACTTTACATTTGTTTTAATAGAAAGGAACAAACCATTTATTGCAAAAATTAATTTATTATACAAAGCAATATTTCATGAGCAAGAGATGGTCCTCTCTTGAAGTTGATTGATTTTGTCCTGCATTTTTAACTCTATTAAATAATTTTAATTAAAGAATAATAGGGAATTCAATGGTGCGGCGGAGCATCCGATTTATTTATTTTAGTGATCCGTACCTGATTTATAAATCAGAGAAGACTTTAAGTTCTGCCATATTGTATGATAGAAAATAAATAGAATAACAAATGCAATTTGCTGGCATCCTTTACCAAAAGAACGAGTCGAAAGGAATTAAAATTTTTGCAATTCATTAACAATTACAGCGCACAAAATATATCAAATACAAATAAATATACAACATTTTCAAAAATGTTCTCATGAAAACACCTGTGTAGGTAGCTAGAATACATTTTCGCAACGGAAAATAACTTTTTGTGCTGGCTTATTTCAATGTAAACCCCAATTATCGGGTGGAGATTTGTATCAGAAACTGTCATTAAGATGTAAATGAATTCTGTACCTCCCCTGGTACCTCTGGAAGTACATCCAATATATGGACTTTGGCTAGCTACATAGTGGGCATTTAAAGTCACCGATTGAGGGTAAGTACCTGGTACTTGTGCCCTGATTTTTGCTGCTGTTGGTGGTTAACAAATTAAATTCCAGAACTATTCAAATTAATCTAGCAACTTTGCCCGGCTCATCCGTCCGCCAGTTGGCGCATTTCCACCACCAGCAGGTGGCTCCGTACTGACTGATTTATGTGCGGCAATGTCTTGGGCTGGAAACTTTCCAGTGCGGGTTACGCCACGGCGAAAGGAAATTAAAAATTACACAAAAAAAAGGAGAGTGGCAGCCACGAGGAAATCTTGGGCAACTTTTTGATTTGTCTGCCACAGTCAGCCGACACCACGTTGCAGTTGAACCCCGATCCCGGTCCACTCATCCAGCGGTCTTCCTTATGTTTTAATTACACGAAACGTGAGCCAAATTACAAACTGCCAGCACTTTTGAATTGTGTTCTCCGCTCAGAAATCAAGCGATTGGGGACCGTTTGTTTCTAATGCGGTCTAAAAAAACGTAGTAAATCGAAATATTTTATACTCACTTCAAATATTTTTTGCTTTGATATTCTTTTTTATTCTTCAGTTACTTTAAATATGCAAATCTTAAAATTTTTAACATTTTTCATGTGATTACTCGAAATCGATTTTAACATCTGAAGATATAATTTTAAATTTAAACCATTATTAACTTAAATAAAATGCCAATATACCTAAAATGAACTATTTTAAATCTAATACTTTCCACATTTATTAAATATTTTAATATATTACCATTCATTTTAATATGCATTCTGTTAAATATTATGATTTAATATTTTATTTATATGTAAATTAAACAATTTTAAGTTTATTTGTCAGATATTTATTTTTACTATTCCATTTTGGATAAGTGTATCAATTATCGATTCATATTTATTTACTTGGTATATTAATAAGCTCCTACTCAAGGTATGCCAAACTATTTGAAGACTGATTACACTAGCCTACGATGCGATTGAATCCTACAAGACTAGAATTCAGAAGAATTCAAATTTTACATCAACCTTGATTTGAAGTTTAATTAAACTCAAACACTTAACTCCTTATATAGATGTGGATATTTTAGTAAGTCGAAAAAGTGCTAGTTGAATTCATGCTAAAGAGCATGTAATAAAAACGTTTATTCATCGTGCGCCCTTTTTGACTGTCAAGGCTTGTCAACGTAATGTCATTCGGCAAGCAATTTGCACATGAATCTTTTGTTAAAGTCGAACGATTTAGGCGGAGTGAGGAGATCCGGAGTCAGAAACAGAAACAGAAACCATATTCTGGAAATCAGGTAGCACATACACATTCTCGTTCCTGATTGTCATTTGATTAGATTACATGGCATTTCTGTATGCCTGTGAGTGTGTGTGTGTGTGTGTGTGTGTGTGTGTGTGTGTGTTTGGGGAAGGGGGATCGACGCACATGTTTCCTATAGAATCTGTTTATGTCTTGGGCTTGGGACCGAATAACAAGTTACTCGAGGCTGCTGTGACCCAGCCAATTGGAATCCTAGTCACACATAGGCTGACAAAATTGAAGATCTCTTGTGCCATTCATTATCACATCAGGATGGCCTTGAACCAAGTTTTGGGGTAAATATTGGAGGGATCGAGTGGATCATAGAGAAAATGAAGTCGCAGACGATAAGGTAGAAAAGCTTCTATTAAAATAACATATATATTTATACTTATATATATTTTATTTGTATATATTTTAATAACTTTGTCCCTTGCTTTTGAGGGTATTATGAATTTGCAGTTGGTAGGCTTGCATTGAGCCGTCCTTATACTGGAGAGACAAGTTAATTGCCAACTCATATAGTTGCTTGACGATGTCATCCCATTTCGAGTGAATCCCACAATGCGTGTGCGTGTGTGCTTAACAACAAGCGAAAGGAAATGGAGAGATTGTATTTGATGCTATATAGGTATAATCGTTGTGTGGCTTCAAGTGAAACCCAATTAGTTGACAAGCGTTTCAATATGGCCTTCACCCAAGACACGCCACTGAAATATATATATGTATATATATTCTGATGTGATTAATCATTATCATCAGACATTATTTTTTCGGGAAATTTGATCATGGAATTAATTGAAGTCCCGCTGAGGGAGTCCAGTGCGTAAGGGATTTTGATTCTATCGAAGAACTTGGGTTTCTACGCGCAAACCAACCACAACAATATCAAGGGAGAAGGCGGAAACTTTTTTAATTAAAAGGAAAAATAAGGAACGAATTGAAACTTTTGCCACTGACAAAATGTTTCTCCCGGCCATCAACAAGTTGAGCACAACAGAAATTGTTTCTTTACCGTATTTTTCCACCTGTTTTCTTCGATTCGCTTAAGCCTCGTAACCACCCAAAAGCCCACCCACTTGGCTGCTACTTCCTTCACTTGTTGTTTTTCTACTTATTGCGCTTCATTTGCAGCAATGAAATTTAAGCGTTTAGAGAAAAGTTTGCCATGTTTTGTTATTCAGTCTAGTGTACTTTATGCGATTTATGCCGCTTCGCAAATTAGCTTATCGATTCTTTTTCACTTTTGCCTGACCTAGGAATGTGATTATAATAATAGCCCGAAAAATACATAACAACTGAGAGTTAAATTATCTTTAGGAAGACGAAATCTATTTACTCTTTAATTCCAAACTGCCTTAGAAGCGATTGGTTTGAGTCCCATATCTTTGTCGCATTTTCATCTTGCATATATGAAGCAAGGGTATACGGGGCTCGTGTTCCGGAAGTCCAAATGTTGTTTGTTGTTTGTTTTTATTGACTTTTAGGACGGGTATGGGCAAAACAGGCTGTCGAAAAGGGGAAAAAGTGTAGAGGGGTTGTCAGCAGCTTGGCAGCTGTTTCCTGTGTATTACATTCGAGCGCTGCAATTATTATTATTATTATTATTATTGTGTAATATTATCATGATTATTTTTATGGTTTTTGCATTTTAAAACAAATGAGACTCGAATAAGACCTCGCATGTATGCTTGCGGGTGCGCCAAAAATTACCCAACAAATGGTATTTTTATGTTTCTTTAACTGCTTGTCCGTTGCCCATCAATTTTACCAACTTCTGAGGAGAAAGCGTGCCAGGAAAATAGCAGGCGCAGGGTGAGAAGAGCAAAGAACACCAGACCAGAGAACATAAAAATCAAATTTCCGCATAAATTGTTAACTCAACATTTGTAATTTTGTGTGTAAAAATGCTGAGGAGCTTAGAAATTCTTGATACTTTACATACAATTTTGCAGAAAACTTTGCAGAAACATTTGTATACCCCTTTCAGAGAGTATTATATTATACATATTATACATTCGGAATACAAAAAAATTAAAATAAAAACAATTTAACTTTTAAATTTTTTTGAAAAATTCTTTTGAACATAGTAATGGTTTAAAATTTTAGAACTACGCTTTTAATTTGATTAAAATTGGAAAACGATTTCATGTAGCTGCCATAGGAACGATCTAAAAATTGAGCTAAAGATCGTCGTAGCTTCCATATATATAAATCGAAATTTAGATATTTAAAAAAATATTTAATTTTGGCAATGGCTGCAAGGGTATACGAACTTCGGTTTGTTTTAAGTATATATTATTGCATTTGAAAAATATTTGAACACATGTGGTTATCTATGGTCGAAGCATTGAGAAACGGGCGCAATCTGAAGCTCAAACCGAAACCGGGGCTCAATCTCCACTGGGCGTTGTCGGGTAGTGTTTTCAGTTTCCAGTTCTCAGTTCTCAGTTCTCAGTTCCCAGTTTCAGCGATTAGAACGGGCGAGAGCTGGGCTCTTTGACCTTGGGCTGGAACTGGAACTGGAACTGAAACTGAAACTGATAAGGCGGCAACGGGTCTAAGGAATGCAAATGGAAATGGTGATGGGAACGGAAGGGCCTCAGTTGTTTGTTTGCCTGCAAGATGTGCGCAATGAAGCTTGCCCTGGCGGTCGCCGTGATCCTCACCACCGTCCTGCTCCTCGGCCAAGGTCACGCCAATCCGGTCGAGGTGGATGTGCCCGCCCCCGATGCCAACGACCTCGCCACCGACTTCGACGAGGCCTCCGAGAAGAGCATGCGTGTGGTCTCCATCAAGGTCCGGCACATCCAAACGGATCCGGCTCTGTGCGAGCACACCTCGCCCCACCACCCACACCACCCCCAGTGCCACAGCTACTGCAAGCACCAAGGTCACTGGATTGGACAGTGCAAAAAGAAGACTTGCCAATGCTTCTCGTAGACAAGCTTCCGCTATCTGTGAGCCAAAATACCATTTTTTTAACGCTAAAAAACCCTTAAATATTATATTCTCTTAGCACTTTTTGCAATGTTTTTCAATAATATGTTTATTAAGTAAAATACGTTTTATTAAAGTATTTTAAAGGACAAACAATTACCGGATACAATTTGTATGTATTTAAATAAAAGGACGAACAATGTCACCCAAGAGTATAAAAATATAAATTTACGACATAAATTACTTTGTTCATTAATCACCAATTACCTTAAAAAAAAAAAGGAACTATTCAGCACAGTTTTTTTTTTTTAACATAAAACCTAAGCTTAAACAAAAAACATTTTAGAAAATAGCATCGAGTAAATCATGTTAAATGTATGTTTATTTCGATTTTATAAATAAATGCCTGAATGCCTGATTGTAAATGCAGAACGATGTTGGAGCTAAGGAGATTTAATTGCATTGTATTTCAAAGGAGCTTAATTATTTATATTATTCCAGCTTTAAAGCAAACTCAAAATTGTTAAACATTGAATATAATTGTTTTTGAGTAATTCTACCGTTGAAAAAGATACTTGGGGACCCTCGGCGGGTTTTTTACTCACCCAAAGTGGAATTTTCTTTAGACTTAAGCTTGGCTTATTATCAAATAATAATAGGATTTTTGGGTTGTCAATGACGAACCAAGTGTCTAATAATGAATCCCCGTTCGGACTCTGAAAACAATTTTCAATTAAATTGGAATCTAAACTTGGATTCAAGGAGTCAAGGGCCAAAATGAATGTCATTGTAGGGAACAGCCGCGCCAAATTATTGCCATTAGCTGACATTTTCGCAATGATTGTAGGATTGCGGATTTCAAGGAGGTAACAATTCGGGCGGAGGACGCAGATATTCACATTATTAGCCGAGTTTGATTGATGACATTGTGCTGTGCAATAGCCTTGCAGTCCCCTCATCATCACTTTCCTTAGTTAGATGTGACAAGGAAAATGGGTAAATTCTAAATAGATTTTCCATCCGTGTTTGCTCTGGCATTTCTATTTCTCCCCCTTTTCTCCCACATGTTGTAAACTGATTTTAGCTCAATATAATGTGACGTCCCTCGCTTTTGATAAGGGTTCTCTCCGCAGCCGGAGGCTGTCAAATGATAAGCAGCAGACAAGCCCAATAAAAGGGATATGGGCGGAGATACCAAATTGTTGTTATTACAACACTTACCCGGGAAGGAGGGTCCAGGAGGGCATCGGAGATGGCACGCACGGATGCCTTTCCAATTAAAAATTCAAAAGCCTTTTTTCAGCCACTCGCCAAATTGGTGAATTACGTGCCAAACAGAAAGACAGAAGGTTCCCAGCTCAAACGGGAGGCATGATTTATTTAAGGATACATTTATATGCACATGCAATAACAAATATATTGCAAGGGTCCCCATATACACTTTAGCTATATTGCCAACACTTACACAGATTTTGAAGAATGTCGAGATTAAAATTTAAGCCAATCTACTGAAAATACTTAATTAAGTGCTTTGATTGTCGTTTATTTTTTTTACCCTAGCAGAAGGTGGAGGAAACATTTCCTTAAGGAAGTAAACTTTGGCAACTGCCAATGAATACAGTCGTTTAAATTTTAAAATATAAATATTTTTTAAATATATATATACGTTCTATAATAAAAATTGCGTAGATCCTTTTAGCCTTCTTTCTTCATCGCCTCGGTAAGGTAAACGTCTTTTTCGTGTTCAATGCATTAATTTTGAAATTATTAATGAATTACTCTTTTTGTGAGTTTTGTAGTACACATTTAATTATTCTGAACACAACAGCCGAATTAAAAATATACAATATTTACAAAACTGATTATTTTTAAGGTGAACTATTCTGAAAGTACCTAACCCATATCATTATTTGCGAATGTTCATATTACACTCTCCTTGGGCAAACAATTTGTATTGTTGTTACTAAAAAAAATGCTAACAAAGATAAAATAAACATAATTGAAGAAGACAAACAGTTCCAGCGATTTTATATTTTTATTTTCGCCACAGTATCTGCAATAGGAAGCATCGAACAAAATAAATGTATACTGATATCCGCCGAAATATAGTCGTTTTGTACAGTGTCTGATAAACGGGTTATTTTGTTTTATTAAATTCATATGTTATACTGCTGGCATAGGACAAGAGAGAGAAAGTATTTTTGCCATATATAGTATAATATAAAATTAAAAAAAGAATAATCATATCATGTGGCACACGTTATTTTGAAATCATCGGCGACTTTACGTTAAAGAGTTATCTACGTAAGCGATTCATTTCAGCAATTTCCTTCCACAGACTTTAAATAATTTGCAAAAGTAGTTGAACACAATTTGAATACTTGTGCTTTAAGAATATTATGATGCGAGCTCACTGATTATATGCAGGGCCTTATTAGTCAGATTGTTAATCGTGCAGGAGCGGCAGGTAAATCGCTTCCGGGGAATGGGTGGGCTTAACTGGCGCCAAAGGGACGCGGGACTCGGGATTCGGGACTTCGAATCCAGGATGCAGATGCTGGTACTACATCTAGATATTTCCCCCAACTTACATATAAAAATATATACATATTTTCGTGTATATCTTTATAATAATTTGTTTGCCGGCTAAACTCTCCCCGGGGCGCATTTAACTAAAACGCTGCCAAGGACAACATTGATGGAGGAGTTTGGCGGGGGATTCGAAAGATGTGAGGTGGCGAGTAGACCGGCCGAGCTGGCTGCTCGTGGCAATTATAAATTGTTGAAAATAATTTCATTTAATATGTAAAAAGCAACGCCAAATAGAACAGCGTATTAAGGGTCGGCAGGCAAGGAGGATCCATTTCGGCCGTTCGTCCTGGCTGAAGAAGTGTGTTTTTCGAACTACGTGCCAGCTATTAACTTTGAACCCGCTTACCGGGACTCAAGCCACTTCCTATGCCCTCGAACTTTCACTTCCTCCCAAAATAGTTCCCCACTTTCGGTGCATATTGTGACGAAGATGTGATGTTAGTGCCTAGAGCAATAGGTAACTTATTAGCCCAGCCAAGTCAGCCTCTTGGCACATTCCATTTGCTTGCAAATTTAATGATTTCGCAAGCTGAAATTCCATTTTCATTTTCATTCTCGTTTTCGTTTTGCAATTGTTCATTTTACCTGGACACAGTGAGTGCTATTTCAGTGTGCTGCCATTAGGCGCGGACGGCATGCAGGAAATTAAGTTGGCAACTTACCGAGCCCATTCTGGACATGGACACGAAACGGAATTGAGTGGCTAAAAGCACTGTCAGAATTTCTCACAGACTGCACTCAGAAATAGGGCTGTAAATGGGCCTTCACTTTTTGTTGCTAAGCGAACAATAAAGTAATTTTGACAATATGACCACTTTTGCTCTATGTTAACAAACCAAAAACAAGCATTTCTTGCGAACGGAAGATACAATTTTCGTTTAACATTTGCGAAGATGACGAATATACAATTTTATAAGTTTTAAAATGGCAGTACAGTCAAATATTATGCTTAACATTTCACAAATTTTAAACGAGTAGAATAAATAATTCCCCCAATTACCAAAGAGGAAAAAGGGTACATATTCAATTGATATGTCAAATAAGCGTGCACAAGCTAGTATGCAACTAGATACACTTTTCCGTTAAATAAATATTTTTTTTGCCATAAACATTAATTTTAAAACTTGTGTGTGTTTAATTTTGCAGTTACCTTCGTTTTGAGCAAGGTACAAATACCTAGGACTCTTCACTTTTCTGCCAAATATGCATACATTTACTACAATTGAAAGAAAAACATTTTAAATGAAATTTAAGCAAACAGTTGACCCCTTTCACTGGCTGTAAAGAGCAAGCTATGTCCACAGTAAAATGGTTCCCTTATTTGTTTCCATTAAATTGTGCATATTTGGCCCAGTCAAAGAAATATGTGCGAAACATAAATGAGAAATAATTGATTTGTATTTCCATTATAACATTTTTGAGCTTCCGGAAAAGGAAAATTTTTGTAAAAATTTCAGGGAAATAAATTTCATGAAAAATTCTTGGTACTAAGGGGCTTTCCACTGGGATTTCCATCGCCTCTTATCCGGCTCGTCGCATTCAGTGCCACTCCCTTTCAACCGGAGCGAGCAAACAGTTGCTCATTTATTTCGCTCCCTGTCGCGCTGCGCTTGAAACTCATTACTCATACCACACGTTGGCCGCCACGTCCCCATGTACAAAAAAAGGAGAGGGTTTCGTGTGCGTGTGTCACAAATTTCACTCAGATGCGCTCCATTGGGTCGAAGACACATGCTCTCGCATAAGACTACGAAAACACTTGACTCGTTTTTATAAAATAAAAGTAATGGGTCCTGCCAAATTAAATCCCGGCCAATTAACTGAAAATCCGTTTAAGCAGTCCACATTAAAACATACTTGGAAAGTTTAAAGAGACGGTGAACTTTTGGTGTTTTCCCAAAAAACCGGATACCCAAAGTCAAAACTAAAGTCTTACTAAGTCTTACTAATTCAACAAAAATGTACAATTTCAATATTAAATTTAATTAATTTAATTTAAATTAAGATAACCAAGTGTAAGTATGCTACTTAAAGATTTTGAATTGATGTCTTAGTATTTCTCTTAATAATCATAGATAAGAGTATATCCCATTTTGCGGTTGTAACTTGTTATTCACCACTAAAAAGGCATCAATAAGTAACATAATAAGTAACCTATGACTTTTGTAAATAAAGTTGTTAGCGGAACTGTGTACACCCCAGCTATTTTAATGGCCATTTAATCGAAGCTAAATGTTAATCATCCATGCTGCGTGGGAGATGGGTGTCTTCCCCTTCCTGCCACACAACAAAAAATAAGCAACAACCGACAATTTGACGCTTAAGTTGGTAAGTGCAGTCGAAATACCGCATTTCGATCAAAAGCACAAAATGAAACGTGCAGTGCAGTGGCAGAGATACAGATTCAGATACCATATAAAATATGAGAAATGTGCAAATTAGCTGAAATTCGTTCACGCACGAATGAAACGAGGGCCGCCACTTGGTATTGGGGAAATGATATAATTGCTGGGGCAGGAAACTTAACTGACTGAGTGAGTGACTCAACTCAACTCAACTCAACTCAACTTAACTCGACTTGCAAAAAATTAAAAAATAAAGAAGAAAAAAAACAAGAGAAGTAAAATGCAAAGTTGCCGCGCATGCTGCGAATACCCCAAAGTGTTGCACACTCGACTGCGTCGAATGATGGCAAACGAGACGGGATGAGCTATACGGTGGCTCTGGCTTACACGGTGTGGCACAGCACAGCACAGCACAGACACTTTCCACCCATCGGTCGACTTTTTTAACTCCTTTCTTTGAGGGCGTCAATTACAAGCAGCCCAAACCC